GTCTATTCCATCCATAAAATCGTTTGAGGTCCAACCATGTTCCTCCACGAATGGACAGTGCGACTGTGCAAGCGGCTTCTACGGATGCGGTAGAGACCAATGTTGTCGTCGACGGCGGCGTCGTTGAAAAGTGCTGTTTCTGTGTTTGTACATATTGGAAATGTAATAAATATTTCGAAATAGCATGTTAAAGATGACCGTTTTTCAGCTCAATGGGGACTAAGTGAAACAAAAAATTAAATCTCTGGGAAACAGCACAAAGTCTCATGATGTATCTATGGGCCCTGGTTCTTGTCAAGTACGACCGCTTTCTCAACGGGTTACACCGTTACACGCACGAAACACAACAAGTTTATCGAACAACGAAACAATTAATTAACGAAACGGCACGCAAATAATTACAAAAAAAGAATATTAGAATCGGGATCACAATATTCGGGGCCTCGGTGATGGAGTCCTCGGGCCTTAGCGACGACGATGATGAGGGGATTGAGTTCGGGATGGAGAGGCGCGGCTTTGGGGTGCCCTTCTGGGCTACTACAGACAAGAAGACATCTGAAACGCTCCTCGCCCCCTTTTTATCCTAACCAATTCCCGCCAAAACTACGCCTCTTGGGCGGTCGATCACACCCTGACCTATCTAAACGGGTTCGACCACCCTCATGCCACATGCCGCCCCCCGGGTTAGTCGATGTCCTCATCGACACGAGCTCCTGCCTTTTAAGCTCTGGAAGGGGAATCAACGTGGCAACCCTTTTTCTGATTGTCTCGTACAACATTTTGGCACATGATACTGTGCAATCTGAGCCATAGAACGGTACTGCTAATTCCGGCGTACCAACATCACAGAAGATTCTTCCGTTCTCAATGCGCGTTCCTGACGAGCGAAAAAATTGTCCTTTGTCCGATTTCGAGCGTATTTCCGCTCCTCTGAAAGAAGCACATGTTATCTTCTGCACTTTCACACATGGTTTTCTTCCTCTTTTACGCATTTTACGCCGAACCCTTACGGGTTCTGTGTTTTCACCAGCCCTAGTTATCACAGCAGAATTTTCCCTCGTCTCACGCACACGAGATGGACTGCCCGCTCGCCAGTCAATCTCGGGCGAGAATACCCTGCTCTCCGTTTAGGTGACAGCCTATGAACAGAATCTTCCGTTTTTGAGGTTTCCTCTGTCCCATCTTGTGGCGACAGTCATACTCATGCTTCACCTTCCCACGCTTACCGACGTTAAACTCCTTCTCCTTGTTATGAACCTCAGCAACAGCCTGTAGCAGCTGCGTCTTATAGCCTCTTTTACTCTTGTCCATCATATACCGCGGAATACCGTCATTCGGTACTCTTTCAAGGTCTTTATTCCTAACCTCAGACCCTCTTCGTGTCAGCACTACCTGGACACCCACCTCTTTCAAAGCATTTGTACCTAACAGTATTTCTCCCTCTTTCACATCCGATATGTGGAAGGCCACTTCTGCCCTATCGCCTCCTTCTAGCTCTATTTTTGCTCGTCGGGTAAGACAGCAATGACTTTGTGGGAGCAGTCAAAGACTGCTCCCAAAAAGGTCATGCTGTTACCCGACGCGTCCAACACCGGTACCATAGACCCTTTAGGTATCACCTCCAGGCTGTCAACATCGAAGCCTGTCTTCTGTGCTCTTGCTAGCACACCCACTGGCATAATGCTCACCATTGAACCTGTGTCGAGAATTGCAGGCACACTCATATTCAGTAGCCTAGCTTTGACCGACACTGTCCTTCCCACCAGTGGTGTTTCCGCACTCTCTATCAATTCACATTTCACTCCCAGACTTCGTGCACCAAGATTATTATCGACGATATCCTCTGGTCAGTCTTCTGTCTGCTTACTGGTGAAACTCCAGTTCGGGGGGGCCACTCCATTTTTTCTCCAATACTCAAGATAAGGATTAGAGGGCTCACGACACGTAATCGACTCATTTAAAGTAGAGACTTCTGATAAATATCGGTGTAATGGGTGAGAAACCCTGAAACGTTTTCACATTTCCGCCTGCCATGACCCAAGGGAACGGTCCTGGACCAGGAGAAAGGGACACCTCCGCAAAGGGCTAAGGGTGCAGGAGCTCCAGGGTGGATCACCTGTGCAGAAAAGTGGATGGGATGTGGGCAGGTAGTGTGGAATGTAGGACATCCACCGGTCCTTATCAAAAGTACGCTCGAAATGAGTCGTTCACTTATTATCTTATCCGTAGTGTTCGATAGCCCAAAGAACTGCTCTCTAGTACTACGGATAAGATAGCAATGGAGTGGCCCCCCCGAACTGGAGTTTCACCCTGCTTCCTTTTTCCCAGCTCTCTCGAGGGGTGGTGTGTTCCCCTTTGGGGGTTTATCTGCAATTTGGTTTAACTTGGGGTTTTTCTTCAACGGGCAATCTCTACCAATGTGCCCTATCCTTTGGCAATTGTAGCATCTCCTGTGCTCGCTGTATTCGCCCTGCCTCGGACGCTCCCCTCGCGAGGCCACAGCGTTGCCACTTCCCCCGAGCTCATTTTGTCTGGGGTACACGTAAACCACTTTCACTGCTTTCTTCTCTGGGGCCTGTCTTCCTTTCGTAATGTGCTATATCCTCGGATCCCCAAAATTCTTGCTCTCGCTTTCTTTCTACCTGGTGATACGCTGCGGACCTTTTTCTCCACCCGTCTCTGCACGTACTTCCGATAGGGGCCACAGTGCTCTTGACTGCTCCATTGTCAAAAGCAGTAAAACAAAATCACCAACGAAGACAAACCAGTGTCACCGACATCGTACGCTTCCTGACGGATCGTCCAACGCCGCAGCCCCAACGTCGTTAACAGTTGATATGCTCTGGCCAGTCCGCTAAATTGTCTAACAAAATCTGCGCGTATTCTAAAGATCTGTCTTTTATACTGCATGAGGGGTAGGCCTGCCTCCCTAAGTCTTCAAGAACACCACAGAAATCCGCAACGCTCTGACCTATCCTACGCTTTAGGCATCTTAGCTCCGTAAGTGCCCTCAGCCGACCCGCCGTCGAATCTGTCAGCACCCTTCTCAGTTCTTCCACACAACTGACCTCCAAAACCTCGCCTACTCAGCACACATGACTGGGCATATGCCAAGGAAGCAAGCTCTTAGCCCTTCCCTTCCAGAGATGATCGTCTACCATAATATCCAACAATGTTTGGTCATCGAACCCTACAGCTCCATATTTTCTTGAATTGAACCGCCTAATGAATTCATCGAAATTCTCACTTTTATTACCCCTAAATACACCAGGCCCTACGCATGCATTGGCCTGAACCCATGCCATGAAATGTAATGTCTCCCGACCTGTGTGCCCCCTCGCGATATCAGCCACATGCAGCTCGGAGCTGCGCTCGTAATACGCTCAGTCTGTCGACCACGATTCCGTCGAGTTTTCCCTCGGCTCGACCTGAATAACTTCTTCATTGGGTGCACCCTGGCTTCTTACTATCATGTTCCTTGACTGACCATTTGATTCTTCAGTGTCCATTTTTTCTTCACTCGGCTTTGACTCCACTTGCCGTCTTGCTTAGTGCTCGCGACGGCTGTATTGCACTGAGTACTCCTCGTAAATGACCAGCGTCCGTCTGAAACATATCACATAAGTCCGCGATAAGTTCGCCATCTCGCTCTGTAGTAGCAATATACTCATTCCAATCTTTCACGCTCTCAATCCCTTTGTCATACAGGGTCTGAAACAACTCATTCCCAAATAATGCATGCCCTGTCACGTTTGCTTTAAGTTGCTCTAGTATCTCAACCGCTTGGTTTACCTGCTTCTCCAAACTAGTTCTCATTTGAGCTCTATATTTTCCCGCTATTCGGGCATCCATCAGCTCATTTTCAACTTGACTAGTCACTTGCTTGATCTCTTTTATTACCCTATCAATTTCCTCACTCACTCTTTTGAATGGAAATTGATCCTGTACAAAACTGACCTGCGCTGCACAATTCTCATCCTGTGCGCCGCTCACCATGGCGTGGCTCTCCCTATTTTCAGAGCTCATGCCTGCAAACACTATACTCTAGTATGATGTCGTGCCACAATCAACGACAATATAGAGCGAGAGCAATCGATGCAACAATGAAAGACTGTAGCGTCTAGCCAAAGCGATCAATATGCCGATACGACGCGACAAATATCAAAACACAGACTGAATCTGATCCTATGATCAATACGAACAACGACGCCTTTCCGCGCCAACTACCTGGACCACCAACCCGATCAATATGGGCACCGTACCCCTTTATTGCTTGTCCGACTTGCCTCTCCGTCAGCCTCCCTATCTCTTCGGCTGATATCTGGAGCTCCTCTTTGCGCCCTACTGCGCAAAATTTCTCCGCCTAGTACTCGACCGGTTCGGCCCCCATGTATCTATGGGCCCTGGTTCTTGTCAAGTACGACCGCTTTCTCAACGGGTTACACCGTCACACGCACGAAACACAACAAGTTTATCGAACAACGAAACAATTAATTAACGAAACGGCACGCAATAATTACAAAAAAAAATATTAGAATCGGGATCACAATATTCGGGGCCTCGGTGATGGAGTCCTCGGGCCTTAGCGACGACGATGATGAGGGGATTGAGTTCGGGATGGAGAGGCGCGGCTTTGGGGTGCCCCTTCTGGGCTACTGCAGACAAGAAGACATCTGAAACGCTCCTCGCCCCCTTTTTATCCTAACAATTCCCGCCAAAACTACGCCTCTTGGGTGGTCGATCACACCCTGACCTATCTAAACGGGTTCGACCACCCTCATGCCACAGCTTACCTTTTTTGACAAAAGCACATGACGCATCTCTCTTTATATTTTACCTGCACAGATTTACCACTGTCGAGCGCAATTTCCTTGGGAAAATTGCTGATCCTTGTTTCCGTGAGATTCGATTTGCTCTAACTTTACTAACAATAAGCATTATATAATGTATACGAAGTTATAATAAATTTGAGCATGTTTCTTTCGAGTGTGTACAATATTTTGCAAAGTGAAAAATAGGCAAAGTTCGGGCTCAGACCCACCTAATAAGCCCTTAAAGTGGCTAGAAGTGCATGGGACGCAACTGCAGGCGACTCGCCAAGTTCCCGCATCCAAATGCGTCACTAAGGCGCTAGGGGCCAAGGACTTTGACACGCTCCACCTGTTGCGACACGCTCCGCCCCGCTCGATATCTTGTCTGCGTCGCTAACTTGATCTGTTATGCTCTCTCTACGCGTACTTTTCTAGCGCCCTCCACGCGCACATTATCTCTCATCTCCCTGTCCGCCTTTTGAACTTCTCCGCAGCGTAGAGCAAAAGGCTCGTTTTCCCTGTGCATTTCACGATTTTTTTTTTTTTCTTTTCTTTTTTCTCCACTGGCGGTCCACTTCCCACCCCTACCTTCACATTTGAGTGGAACTACCTCATAAATTAAACTTGAATTTTGTTTTTAAGCTTCTGCAAAAACATGGAGGTGAACGAGACGGATACCGTGAGTTTGCTGGACACAACGCTAATGGCAATCATTCGGCATCCAATAGATCGATTCTTGAGTGGATATGTCAACAAATGTATTCTGTGGGTTCTTGTCTAGCTAATATTTCTAGTGATGCAGCAGAGCAATACACGACAATAGACATTTATGACCACAGCAATGTATTAGGTTGGAAAGAAAGTTCTGCGACACTCTTTCTAAAATTTTCTTTTTTTCTGAAAAATTCATAGGTAACATTTATGACTAACAAATGGTAGAGCATTCTCGAGGCTTTAATCCACGAGGTGGATATAAGTGCTGCAGTCAGTAGTTATCCAAGAAAATTCAAAAAACCTCGACCACTAGTAAATCCATACTCCGAGTCACTGTCTAGTACAAATGTCTCCATAACTATGGATTCGTGTCAACGACCAACACTATCTGCAATAGCTTCAATAGGCATGCCGTTCACCGCTACAGCGTGTTTCACCTTTACCAGCGCTTTCGATCTTTTGATATTTTTATAAGAAGCCAGCAGCGTCCCTACACTCCATTACAGGTAGGGCTCTTACGGAAGCTCCACTACAATTCTTCGTTATGGGCACCATTGTGTAGGTAGAGGCCTAGGCTGCGGAATCCAGAAGCTGGCCGAGGCAGCTCGTCAAGAGCCCTCGTACCGCGACAATATTCATTTCTTTCATGACATTGCGAATCACCATGATCCGAAATGAGCCCGGTAAGAAATTCTGGAGTTGCGGCAAGATTTCTTACCTCTCTTAGCGTAATCCCCTGGTCGAGCTATAAATGACTGCACCTATCCTGGACCTTTAATCATCATCTTGATGACGAAATAATTAGACGATCAACTCCAACTCGAAAGTGAGGTCGCCTCCTTTCTCGACCCGCACTCCGCTGGGTTTTGGAAAAGGAGCATCAAGAAATTTTCTGAGCGTTGAAGACAAGTGGTGGACACTCATGGTAGATATAGACCGGTCAGGAGTTGTAAACAAAAAAGATAAAATCAAAAAATTGAAAAAGTGTTGCAGGACTTTCTTTCCAACCTAATGTAAGCGATGGAAAAATTGCTTAAGATTTCTGTGGAGTAGCGCAATCATCAGCTATAATGCAGGTCTCCTCAAAGTTCGGCACTATTGCACTATTACAACCCCAGTAGGGGTGAGATGGGTCAAAAAATAATTTTCGCTGAAATTTCGGCTATGGGGTTATCGAGGGCCCTGATCACGAATATGATATTCATTTTTGGCGCTGGCGCCAATTTGGCGCCATTTGGCG